AATGCAATCTTATTAAGGCTGAATACCGGTCACAGTTAGTTGAATTGTTATGCCACAACACGGAGCGTATGTGCGTGTGCATGCACCCGTAATGGACCATTGCCTTCAGAGCAGCTAGAGAAACCAGCTGGAGTTCAAAAGTCTCTGCCTGTGTTGACATTTCTGAGGGAAAACAAACCGTGACAGGTGTGAGCATTCACTTGTTTCTGGTTTTCTTCCAAATATGCTTAATTTTGCAACACTGAAATGCAAAGGTAAATGTTATAGTCTCCATACTGAAAAGTACATTTTTTGGCAAAACTTGGGGTTAAGGGATATATGATGTGAAAGCCAACTCTCCTACAAACACCTTTCCCCTCCTGAAAAAACATGTTATATACGTATACAGGAGGGAAATGTTCACGTTTGATTTCCCCTCCCTTCCCTTCCCCCCCTCTACTCCTTTTCAGCCATCTAGCCCTCTGATGCCTTCCTCTGCATGGCCTCTCCCCTGCCTCTGCCTATTCGAATGTGTGAGCTGCAGGCTCTGCTGTGAGCTGGGGCTGTAGCTAGCAGCTATGAAGGAGTTAATCTGCTGCTGCCTCTGCTCTCCGACTGTTGTTTTGACAAGTATCTTTGGTGATTTGAGTCCCTAACTGCTCCCAAGGCTTATAAAAGCATGCAGCCAGGCTCCCACGTGTTTGCCTAAGGAGAGAACCCAAATTTGCCTGTTCCTCTCATAGCTTGTGCTTACACAGAGGCCTTTCTTCAAATTATTTCATTATTAGCAACCTCTATGTTAACTTTAGAGCGGTAGTGGGGGAACTTGAGAGAAATCTCACTTTGGAGAAGGTAGCTTTTACTGAGGTTTTCAGGAAAGGGGAGAAATGATTTTGTGCTGCGTTTGTGGATCGGTCTGTACAGAAGGGGTAATTCAGGACAAGGAGGCCTTTGCTTGAAATGTAAATGGCATGTGAAGATGTCGAAGCCCTATTTGATTTGTGTTGTATAATAACTTGCATGGTTGCCCACTCTGAGGCTTTTTATCCCCGTTTTCATTCTCCTGAGACTGATAAAGTTCACATGTCTTTCTGCTTACTCAGCTTTGCAAATGCAGTCAGTCACCATCATGCCTTGCAGTTATTTTGTGACATGATCTACCTGATCTCTGCTGTTTCTTCTCCTCCTCCTATCCAGAGGTGACAAAGAAAGCGTCCAAATCTAGTCCCAAAAATGAAAGGCATAAATTATGTTCTTAATTTTAGCTTAATTGCTGATTGGAACTTGTACTTTAAAAAGGGGTAAAGGAAGGGAGGAAGCCTTTTTTGAGTGATTCTTTAGATCATTTTGAACCCAGAATAAATTTGATATGTTAAAAAGATAATAAAACATTAATCTGAGTGTAAATGCTGCCTGCATTTAAAACAGTTACTGTTTTCAGGGAAGTGCAGAATTGGTGCTTGTTTTCTAAATTAGTATTGTCAACTTTAGATTTGCATGGAAGTCCTCACAAAAGAGAACGCCGTCTTTCGGTTGAGTCTCCATATGCTAAAGATATTATTATTTGGAGGTTTGTTAATAGTTCTGTTTTTAATTTACAAAATAATTACATTTAGTGTAATGTTAATTGTCCTAAATGTTTGCCCAGGCGATTGCATTAAGTTTAATGGAGAGCAAGGGTACCTCCTCTTTCGGAAAGCTCTGAGAGTAGAAAGCAGGTGATGCTTCCTCCACCTATTTGCCTTAATTTCTAGTGTGTGATAGACACACCGTTGCACAGTGCAGGCAGGCAGTTGCTCTTGAGCAAAGAATTCCCATGTCCATGGCACAGAACTGTCACCTATCTGGGTGTAGGAACAAGAAGGTGCATTAACTAGGTGTTCAGAGCCCCAGACAGGGGTGCCACAGCTGCATGAGGATGAAGTGTTCATACTGTCTGCCTAGCAGCTGAGCAGATCAGTGAAGGTGGTGCGTACTTACGTGTGCACTGCAGTGGGAAAAACAGTTGCCTCTTATGTAGATACATCAGACTGGTTTTCCTGTAAAATAGCTTGGGGTACCCATGACATTGAAGACTTAGTGGTGCAGGCCTCGCTTCAGAGCTCTCAGTATTCGAGCTACTGGGGCTACAATTGTGCCTCAGGGTGTTGCGTAGCCCCATTTTCCTATAAAGGCAAAACTGCCGTTGCCTTAATGTCTGTTGCCTTCCCTGTACTTTCAATCTAGTTAGCGCGCTGGGGGGTGAGGAAGCCTTTATGAATATTGAGATGGTATCACTTGAGGCTGCTGAAGAGACGTTGGGATCTAAGATTACTGTTAGTCTTTGCCATTGTGTTCACTTTCAGACTGGAGTCAGTGGAATACAGGGAAGGCATCTGTTGTTTCTAAAGTTGTCTTGCCCTGTAGCTTTTCTAGCAAATTGGTTGGTTTAGATTTGGTGAAAACTGTTTTCAGTCATTACCCAGGAAGCACACTAATTGCAAAACTCCTGAAGCTCCCTTTGCAGTAGAGAACAACAGGAGAATAATAGTGGGGCCTATCAACTTGGGGTTGCCAGTGATGGAAGGCAGAAGCATATGCTGCTATGCTCAAAAGCACAGTTGATTACTCAAATTCTTTCTGAATTATTTGGCTAGGATTTCTTTTGCTGCTAGCCCTCTGTCGTGGAATAGCGCCCAAAATGGTTTTAAGCTTTGGATGTGGTTTACTCGGGCACTCTCCACCCACCCCTTTCCAACATAAACTGTACAGATTGCAGCCTTCTGCATATGACAGGCAGGGGTGTGTTTTGTCATGCTTTTCATTCCTGGCGATTTAAGAGGAGGCAAGATTGTGCACAGAATTGCAGTGCTTGTGTATGTGTGTGTGTAGGGCCAAACATGCAAGGTAGTGAGTGTTCAAGACATGGAGAACTCAACTCTTGCTTTCTTGGCCAATCTCAGAAGATCAGATATGAAATGGCAGGCTGTAGTCCTTGGAAGAAAGTGCTGTTCTTTGACCTTTCTGGCCCATCTCTCACTAAAAAGATCGAATGTGTAGTATCTGTTAATTTATGAAACATGAGGAAACTCTCCTTCCCCACTTAAGTTTTCTTGCAGAATACTGTTATTCCTAACCTAAGTACCAAACCTTTTTTCTCTCCTCTTTCCCGTGTGTGCAGTTACCTGCAGAGACAACTGCATGCTTTCCTAGGTGATGGTGATGGAGTTCTCATTGCCTTTCTTCTCCTGCTACTGGAGGAGAAGGGTTTTGGGGCAGAACTGTATGTCCAGAGTGGTGACCCAGACTTTTCTAGGTGATAGACATGGAGATTTTTTGGTTTAGAGATCAGTATTGGCCATCTAGTATTGTAGATTCAGATATGTTCCTTTGTGTTTTTTTTTTCTTTTAAACTTTCAACAACAAACATTGCAGTGCCTGTGTGTATGGGCGCTGTTCTTTGTGTCTGCCATCTCTATCCTGATCTGCGTTTCTTATGTCCTCATAGATGGTCTCCTCTTGGCTTCTGTGGTTTTCATCCAACCTAATAAGGTCTTTTTTTTTTTTTTCTTTGTAAAGGTAGAAAAATCTTTCGAGAGGACTTTAAGGATTTCTCCCTGTTCTCTGTTCTGCATCCTAATTTCTAACCCCTTTAAACTCCACCGTTTTCCAGCTGCATCTCTGGTCCTCAGATGTTCTCTTCCACAAACTCTTCAGATGGTGTTTCTGCTGCTGCCGCATGCCACCACAACTCTTTTCTCTCTAACAAAAATAACTGGTAAAAACAGCATTTTTTTTTTACTTACCTTCAAGTAGGAAGCCAAGAAAAGACTTCTGGGGACAAAGTCTGCTCTAGCCTCGTTGAGGCCAAGGTACACACTCCCCTGCTTACTGCTGCCTAACCTCTGACTCAGAGAATAGTTGAAGTATGGCATTTGCAGTCCCAGATATGTGGGGCTCAATTGTCTCTGCGCTGTTCTGATCGCTCACGGATACTTGTCTTAAGCACATGTATGGGTAATCAAATGGAAGGTTTTTTTGCCCCCCCCCCCCCCCGCTGCCTAAAACTCATTTCTCTCTCATGTGAAGACTAACAGCACAGAGAGAAGGCTTGCATCAGGGAGGATTTTTGCCCAGAATCTCCTCACAAGGTTAGAAAGCAGCAATATGTGGCAGAGAAATATGATTAGCCACTTGTACTTCTGCTTTTGAGGCAAGAATATGATTAGCTACTATATTCCTAAAATACATGGTACCCTGGTCTGTGCCGGACTCCTAAGTGCTGCAGTCTTCTGAAGAGGGTGATACTGGAATCTTACAGACACAAAATGAGAAAAAGGGCTTTGAAGACTAGAATGAGATCTGTGATGAGTCTTCACGCAAGGGAGCAGAGAATGACCACGTGTGCAACTTCAGTGGAGTGCTTAACTATGCAACTCTGGCATTCCCACTTGCTTAGGGGCTGGAAGCGCGAGCAGGGTTTGGTGTGAAGTATCAAGTAATTCTGCGCTCAGCTAGACCACTAGAAGCAGCTCGGCTTTCCTTCCTCCTGCTGTTTTTTTATATAGCTTTGTACTGTGATCTGCTTTATACAGTACTGATTTAAGGTTGTCATACCAGGTTCCTCATCTTGCAGGCTGTGCTTACTCATTGTGAAAACTACAGCTTGAAGGCAAAACACTGCAAAATGTAATCTTGACAAGTATCTTGTTACTTTCATGGGGAGGGCATAAGTATTACTGCACTTAGTTCAGTTTTGGGGGATGTGTTACAGTTTCATCATAGTTTATTTCCCTCATTCCGTAAAGTTTCACCTTGCATAAAGGTGATCTGTGTAGTTTCTTTGGTTAATGTGTAGTCATCCTTCTTCAGTAAGGGGGGGAGGAGAGAATATGCTTTAGCAAAGTCAGCGTCCAGAAGGTTGGACTAGCCCAATTCTTCCAATACTTCTACTTTGGAAAATTGCTGTAGCTTGTGTGTCCTAATCCAGTCCTAATTCATTTTCGTAGGTAGAAAGAACTCGTGCTAGGTGTGTGGGATCTGTCTCTATCCCAGTACCATGAAACTAGCAACTCCCTTTCCTTTTATCTAGCTCTGATTTCAGTCACCTCTCATTTTCTCAGTTTCTCACTGTGACCTTTATTTTTTTTGTGTCTGAAGACTTTGTTCCTAGATGCATATTTTTCCCAAACCCTGTAATTAAGGGATTCTTGGGATTGAGGAATCTGCAGACTTGGAGAATGCTGAAGAAAGGGAAGGAAACCTAGCAAAGTGGTGTTGGCATTCTTGATGCAAAATTGACTGTTGGAGAAATGTTAAGGCTTCTGACAGGCTTATACTGAGATGAATGCATGAGAAGCAAGTGAAGAGAGCACGTGTGGGGCAAGAGGTATACTGAACTCTTTCAGCACAGAGGTGTGTGTGGATGCTGGGGGTGGGGATTTCTCATGTTACCACCAACTCTTCCGTCATGTACTTTCAGCCGGTCTTGGGAGTTCAGTTGAATGCGTCTGGATTGCTGTTTGGGTAGATTTTCAAGGGAAATACAAGAAGGTACGTTAAGGGCTGCAGATCCAGGCTGCAGATCCAGTCAGTGGCAGCTTTTGTCATTAGTCATCCATACTTTATCAGCGTCCTCATACCCTGTTGCTGATGGTGTTGTTCCAGATCCAGTGTGAAACTGGGGCTCCAAGTCTCATGCAACTAATATCTATGCTCTCGAAGAAAAAAATTTTGGAGGCCTTGTCGTGCTATGACCTGTGTGTTGCAGTATATGTCCAGTGTTTTGGTTTTGTTTAATCCTTGCATCTTGACCCAAACTGTTGTGTACTGTTGTATGTGCTCCTGAGAAGCTTTCTGGGATGTCCCCAGGTGTTTAGAGAAATGTTCTGGGATTTCTCTCTCCAAAAAAGTACTCTCTCTGTTATTAATCTTCCGAGTTGAAAGGTGCTGCAGAAATAGCTGCCGCTGTTTATTAACCCTTTCCTTGCTGCTTATTTCCTTCCCTCTTCAGATTACACGCTGACAGTGGAGGCAGTGAGACTGAAGCCATTCTTTGTGGCAGGCCATACCTTTGAGATGACATGCAAAGTGTCTTCGAAGAACATCAAGACGCCGCGCTATTCTGTCCTCATTACAGCAGAGAAGCCACTGACAGATCAGTCCAATCCCAATGGGACTACTCGCATAATCTCCTTGAACCAGGATTCAGTAGTGCGGCTGGAAGACTGGACGGATCAGACTCGTGTGGACGGTGTGGTTCTGGAGAAGGTCCAGGAGAACGAGTTCCGCTACAGGATGTATCAGACCCAGATTTCTGATGCTGGGCTGTATCGCTGTGTGGTGACTGCCTGGTCCCCAGGTGGTGGTGGCATGTGGCGTGAAGCAGTGAACGGCTTATCCAATCCTATCCAGATAGACTTCCAAACCTCAGGTTGGTATATAATTTCTCCAGTGTGTGTCTAGGCCAGAAAAGGAGAGGAAGTTCTTGATGCTCTGCCAGTGGTTTTGTTTTCTCTGGGAAGTGCATACTCTTTTTCTGACATGGAAAGGTTATCCAAGTGGTGTGATGGCTGAGAGCTTTGCTTGTCTCCTTTGGTGGTACTTGTGTCCTCTCTCCTCCTGGTTGTTTCCTGGAAGACGTTTAATTAATCGGTTATAATCATGGCCCCTGGGTTTTCCTTTACTAATGTAGCTTTTAAGGTCCTGCAGGCTCAGAGCTGGATTTCAGTGTGGAATAATTGCTGCCACCCTTGCCAGCATCATCACTAGATTGCTCTTAGGTAACGACTGCTTCGGAAGATCTTTAATATGAACTAGATTTCTGTTCCAAAACAAACTCAATTAGCAAAGCCTTAAATTGCCTGAGCACACCTTCCTGTTGATCTAATTGCAGAAAATCATCAGTTCAAGGCAATGGTAACGTTTCAGCAACCACAGCAAGTATACCCTGTCACTGAAAAGCTGTAAAGGCCCTTTGTGGCTGGACTGCAAAGCTCCACAAGTTGGGATGAATTTGAGTACTCAAGTTTGCATCCTGTTCCCCGCAGCTTTACTGAAACCCTCACCCCCGGTGTAACATAGCCTACCTGGCAAGATGTATCAAGAGAATTGTGCCTGCCCTGGTGTACTGTTGGGGAGAGTGAGGGGCAGGGGGTTGTCTGGATCATCAGAGATGCATATTAACACTGACTTCCTATTATGCCGTGTGGGGGGAAGTGTTGTGGAGTTGTTTTGTAACGCTGCTGCTCTTATGAGCACAGGGCTTATGTCATGATTTGATAAACCAAACTGGTGACTTGGGCAGTCTTAAAGAGCTCTCGGTGTAGCCCAAGGGTGCCTCCTATGCTGGGACTCTCTGATTAGCTGTTTCATTTTTATCTCAGACCTCCTGTACTCCCCCATTCCTGTTCATAAACACAGCTTGGGAGTAGGTCTCTCCTCACATCCCTTGTTCTTCATCTGAGTTACACTGCATATAGTATTGGGCTTGGGTTTTTTTTTAGAAGATACAGCTGTGACTAAGCTAGAGTAGCTTGACTTGTGGTTGCCTCCATAGTTGAGAATGATAATCATTCTCTAACAGATAATTTCTAAAAACTGAACTTTCTTGTAGCAGGTGCCCTGGGGAAGGGACATGGGCTAACTCTAGGGACAGCTGTGTAGTCAGGACATCACTCTGTAAGAAGTTTTGAAGAGTAACATCCTAATATGAACCCTGATGAAGACGCAGCCTGATCTGAGATTGTCTGAGAGAGGACCGGGACTGAACTCTAAATTTGTTTCGATTTTAGGTCATTTCTGCTTGGCTTTTGGTTTAGTTTTATGAAAAATAATTGTCTGAAAATAATCCATTAGTTGCCCATGCGGCAAATACCTCTTGGAGCAGCACAGTCACAGCTGAATATTGCTGTGGATTTATGTTGTCTTTCTGAAGTCATTTAATGGGTTGCAGTTTCAGCCTTACTCCTGTTGGTATCTGGGTCAGTCACAATCAGGGAGCAGCATTTGCAAAGGGGTGATGAAAGAAACTAGCGGGGGTGAAATTGGTCCCAAACCCTTCCCCTCCAAGCTCTTACCTGAAGGCTTTCCTGCATAAAAGTGGTGGTTTGTCTCCCAACCTTGCTCACGTAATGTCACTTTGAACTTCCGTCCAAAAGGTCTGTCGAGATGCAATTAATATCCACACTTCAGAGGGAAACCCACGAGCTGTGCAAGGGAGGGAAGTGTGTATGTTGCAGTCTCAACATCTTTTCGCTGTCGCTCTCTATTCCCTCCCTCTTCCCCCAGATAGGATTTCCGATGCATGGAGCGAAAAAGGGAGGCAGCCTGGAGCACTGCCCTGGGAACGTGTGAATTCCAGTAGTAGGGCTGAGCAAGGGGAGGCATGGTCCTGACGTCCCATCGGGCTTTCATTCTTTTGAAAAGAATGAAGAGAGAAATGAGACCCCAGGCACAATTTACTGGAGAGTTATTTCCTGAAATAATCTTGGCATGTAGCAAAATCTGGCTTGAAATACCTTCCTTCCCTCAACAGATGGATGAACTTTGTGTCCTTTAGTTGTTACTCAAGTATCTGTGCTGGACATTCATCTCTGGGCTAATTCTAAAGGCGCTCCTCTATTGTGAGCGCAGCTTCTTTCTTAGGCCAAAAAGAATTATTTGCTGTTGAAAAATTCTTACTGTCTGGATGTGTCTTGGTGAAATTTGTCCTGAAATCTTTTTTTGATGGGCTTATTTGGATATGTCAGTACTGTGAGCTTGAAACTTTGCTGGTGGGGTTGGGAGGACCTGGTGAGCACAGTTAGAACGGATGCAGGCAAGCTTGCCTCCCAAATTACCCCCCCCTTTCCTCCAAATGTTCCGCTTGTCTGTGGGAGTGTGGTTGCATGCGTAAAGGCCTGCTGTATTTCCTTTCTGCCAGTCCCACCCCTCCGCTGTGCCCTGTTACTCTGTTCCTGGCTCAAATAGACAAGTAGAAATTTAGGAAAATTAATTGGAAGGGGGTGTGCATGATGAAAGAGGGTGTTTTATGAGTACGTTAGTTTTGTTTGCGGAGATGTACTGTCTTTGCAAACTGTGACTGACTCGGGGAGCCAGAGGTAAATGGCAGAGCTGTGGAACAACTGTAAAAGCTGAGCTCAGACAACATGCTCGTCTTGTGTCTTGTAGTAGAGGTGACTGTCAAACTCATTCTCCAAAGAGGGAAGCTGGCACCATGTTTTCCATATTGTAAATGGTGTAAGGCAGAATTAGTGAGGTAGCTAGCGGTTTCTGGGGAGAATGAAAGGCTCCCCAAAACTGGCGGGGAGATGCTAACAGGAAAGGGTCAGAGGGTGGGGGGAAATGCAGCTCCCTGGGTAATGGTAAAAGCTGGGGAGCATCTCTCTGCTAAATCCTGAGTTAAATGGGGGTGTGTAAGGAATGGCTTATGTGTGTATTTGTCTCTGGTGCAATCATATTGTAACAGTTTTCCTGACTTCTGGGTGTCTCAAGGTGTAACAGAAAGGCATTTTAACTGGGACTTCTAGGGCAGTACAATAGAACAGTACAACTTCAAAAGAAGAAGGTATTCCAGTCTCCTGCCCACTCTGAGAGCTTGAACTTGGACAGCATTTTGAGCCTGCACCGTAGGGGATGGAGTGGGGAGGAGATCAATATGGAAGCAGCATTTTCAGCAAAAGGAGGTCCTTAAGAGTTTTACATCAAGGCTTTTAGTGGTAGGAGGAATTTCCTTCTCAGTTGTTTTTATTGATTCCTCTTTGGTGGGGGAGGGGAGACGTGCTTGGATTGGAAATCCTTTCCTCCAGCCTAGCTCCCTCCCAGATCCCTCTGAATAGAGGGGTGTTTCAAGGAAGGGTTTTTATTGTGCGTACGCATTGTCCGATGTGATCTATCTGAAACAACAGGAGACCCGTAAGCTTTTTATATATGAATAGGGGACTGTGCACATGAAACTTCAGTGTTTCCTGCCACAATAGGCTTGAAATGTGGCAGTGCTCTGCAATGTTTTTCCATGAACATCTGTGGAAAATGTCTTGCTCAGATTCTTTCCATTCGAGGCAGAACTTGCTGGCTGCAAGCAGAGACCTCTTCTCTTCTTTCTCCACTTGCTGCTGCAGAGAAACGTATTTATTCCAGTTAGTTTATGATCTGAAACTTTAATGTAAAGGCATTTATTTGAAACTTCCTGAACTGAAAACTGAAAAGTGGATTTTGTCCACTGAATTATATAAACTGGAAGTTGGGAGGAAAACCTAGTAGGTAATTAGTTTTCATATATTCGATCAAAGGTAGATTGTTCTCTACTATATATATTTTAAGGCTAGAAGGGATCTTGGGAATCCTCTGGTCTGACCTTATGAATAACATAGATCCTAAGCCTAATTTTATAAAATGAATGCCTGCTGTGCATCCTGTAACTGGAGCCAAACTAAGCTTATATTTGTAGAAGAGGAGGAAAAACCCATCTCATATGGAGAGTTTAGGTAGTATTCTTTGGTGCTTCTTTTTTTTCAGCTCAGTTTAAAACAGAAGTTCCATTATGTCTTTCAGAGGTTGGTCAGAAAGCTGAGGGAGAAGGGCAGCTATCAGTGCTTACCTTGACATTTTTTTCTTAATTTCATTGGTTTATTTCTACTGGAACCCAAATGTTTCCTCTTCCCTGAGCCGTCAGGTGATGTATGTATACGTAGTCTTTCCTTTAGCCTGGACAGATCTGTCTTCTGTGTTCTTGGCTGTTCTCCTTCTCAAGCTGGATATATCAAGACAGCTTTTTGTAAAGCTTGTGATCCTGTTCGACTAGCCTGAAATCTCTCACTTGTAAAACTCTCCTCTCCTGGTTACCTAGAGGTGTTGCTCCAGTGGCAGTGCTTCTGCGCTGCAAGGACTGCATGGGAGGGGATGCCATTCTTCATGGACCCCTTTGCCCTCAGCCTTGGCTGAGCTCACCAGCAATGGTGGGCTTCAAATAGCTGGGAACTGACCTGGGATCAGGTCCTGCAGCTCTGTGTGTGGCGTTTGGTTTTTCTTTCTGTACTTTTTTTTTTTTTCTCTTCTTTTTAATGCTGAGGCATCTGGTCTCTGTGAAGTCTGTCTCTAGTTTATCTTGGGATAATAAATATAATAAATTCTTTAGCATTCATCCTTTAATTTTCTATCCCTTCCACCTTGTGGCCAGACACCTGGGATAATGTTAGAGAGTCTTTGCCCACCCTACAGTCTTGAGGTTTTCCACAGAAGTGACTTGTATTTTCATTTTCCTTGGGGGAAACAGGGAGAAGGATGTTTTTCATTTTGTATACAGCAGTATGTTATGAGAGAGAGAACCATCTGGAGCTTGGCTGTGCTCTGGGCTGGCTTCCCCCAGTGTCATTCAGCAGAGGGCAAAAGCTCTGGAGAAGCAAAACAAAAGGGGACTTTAAGGGAATCACG